CCTAAAAACCCTAAACCCTAAATCTTAAACCCCTAAACCCTAAACCCCTAAACTCTAAACCCTAAAACCCTAAACCCCCAACACCCTCCACTCCGAGCCCTTCTTGCCCGAGATGCACTCGACTCCCAGGGGGCGCTTGAGGGCGCGAAGGGTGGAGAACCTGTGACACAGGACATCAGGATTTTAGGATTTTGAGTTTTGGGGTTTAGGATTTTGGGTTTTGGGGTTTAGGATTTTTTGGGATTGGGTCCAGGGTTTAGGGCTTAAGATCTGGAGGCTCCTTTTTAAGGGATCCTTCAAGGGCGCCCTAAACCCTAAACCCTTTTACGGGATCCTTCGGATCCCTAAACCATAAACATTAAACCCTGAACCCTAAACACTTCTTTTTAAGGGATCCTTCAAGGGCTCCTTTCTAGAACCCTAAACCCTAAACCCGAAGCCCTAGACCCCAAAAACCCCAGGCCCTGAACCCTGAACCCTGCCTTGCTGCTGTCTCCGTCCACCCAGATCTGGAAGGATTCGACCCCTTTCTCTCCGAGCCTTTCGCTGGGACGCATCTTTGCCATGGAAAGGATGTTGCGAAGGCTAGGTGGTTGTAATCATGAGAAGAAGAAGAATAGCAATAATAGTAATCATAGCAACAATAATCATGATAGCAGCAAAAATAGTAACAATGACAATGACAATAACAACACCAAGAATAACAAAAGTAGTTGTAGTAGTAATGGTACCTGTACCTCTAATGCAAGGTTGCCAGAAGGCTACTACAAGTGGGGCCAAAGGTAAGAAGTGCAGGGTTGGAGGGTTGAGGTTTCGGCCTTCGGCTTGATGGCCTCAGGGTGTCGATGTCACGATGACCACTACGACCACTACAACTACAGATACGACTACGACTACTACTACTACTACTCCTGCTACTACTACTGCTACTACTGCTGCTGCCAGCACATGGATGACCCCATACCCAAAAGACATTCGATCCACAACTCCGGGCCTCCATACATCAGGGACTCAGCACTTCTCTGGGCTTTAGGGTTTAGGGTTTAGGGTTTAGGGTTTAGGGTTGTAGGGTTTAGGGTTTAGTGTTTAGGGCTTTTAGGGTGTAGGGTTTAGGGCTTTTAGGATGTATGGTTTAGGGTTTTCTGGGCTAAAGGCTCAAGATTCCAAGAGGCTTTGGTACCTCGGTTCGCAGGGGCGGGGCGTTGGGGGTTTCGAGTTGGGGACCCTGAACAGTGAATCTGGAGCTCTGCGGACTGGTCCCGCTGAATCAAGGGCTTAAGGTTCCGAAGCCTACGCTCATAAATCATGAACCCCGAAAGCGAAGTCGGCTAATTATCTGCCCAAAAACTACCCTAAACCCCAAACCCCTAACCCTAAACCATAAAACCCTAAACCCTAACCCCTCCGATCTTATCGCCCAGCCATGGAGCGTCACGTTCAGCGTGTGGGCGCCATCCAGGGACTTCGTCATGGGCTGGGGCGTGGCCCAGTTCGACCAGGAGCCCACCACATGGTAGCCTTGGACGGGTTTAGGGGTTTAGGGAGGCTTTCGGGCAAAAGAAGCTCCTACCACGAAGCCCTGAACCCCAAACCACGTTCTGAGAGCATGTAATTCGCCTCGGCCCCCGGCCGAAGCGGTCAGAGGTTCCTATTCGGACTTCCTCTAGACCC